ATAAATGAAATGTCTGGTAATGTACTGGTAATAGTTGAGGCTAGGTAACAGCAAAGAAGAATTCACTCTTCTAATCCCTATTTTCATCTATGCTTGAAAATTTTTCATAATAAAAATTTTTAAATAAGAAAACAAGTAACTTTTTTTATTTTTTTTAAGATTTTATTTATTTATTTGACAGAGAGACACACAGTGAGAGAGGGAACACAAGCAGGGGGAGTGGGAGAGGGAGAAGCAGGGAGCCCGATGTGGGGCTCGATCCCAGGACCCTGGGATCATGACCTGAGCCGAAGGCAGACGCTTAATGACTGAGCCACCCAGGTGCCCCCAAATAACATTTTTTAATTGGCAAAATATTTGAACACTTTATGAAAGAATATGTACCAAGAGCAAATAAACACATGAAAATGATGCTTAACATCATTAACTATTAGGTAAATGTAAATTAAAACCACAATGAATACCACTGTGAACCTATTACAATATCTGAAATTGAAGACTATATCCAGTGTTGGGGAGAACGTAGAACAACTGATACTCTCATATACTGCTGGTGGGAATATAAAATGGTACAACTTCTTTAGAAAATAATTTGGCAGTTACTTCAGAAGACCCAGCCATTCTACTCCTATGTATTTACCCAAGAGAAATGAAACCATCTGTCCACACAAAAATGTTCATAGCAGCTTTATTTATAATATCTAAAATAAAAACAACTCAAATGTCCATCAAGAGGTGAATGGATAAACAAATTGTGGTATATTCATACAAGAGAATATTGTTCAGCACAAAAAAAATGACCTATTTGATACACACAACACAAACTGTAAGATAATTATGCTGATGAAAGAAGCCAGGTAAGAAAGAGTACATACCATATAATCCCATTTATATAGAATTAAAATTCTAAGAAATGCACACTAATCTATAGTGATAAAAAGTAGATTAGTGATTGCCTGAGTGATAATGGGGAAAAGACAATCAGGGGTGAGTGACAGGAAGAGATTATAATAAGACATGAGGAAACTCTTGGTTGCTACAGACATGTTCTTATCTTGATTGTGATGATAGTTTCACAAGTATGTAACCCACAAGGCTGGGTTTTTTTGTTTTTTTAAGATTCTATTTTTAAGTAATCTTTACACCCAACGTGGGGCTCAATCTCACAACCCCAAGATCTGGAGTTGCAAGTTCTACTGTCTGAGCCAGCCAGGCACCCCGAAGGCTATTTAAGAAAAAAGTCAGTATAGGGTGCCTGGGTGGCTCAGTCGTTAAGCATCTGCCTTCGGCTGAGGTCATGATCCCGGGGTCCTGGGATCGAGTCCCACATCGGGCTCCCTGCTCAGCAGGAGGCCTGCTTCTCCCTCTCCTACTCCCCCTGCTTGTGTTCCTGTTCTCGCTGTGTCTCTCTCTGTCAAATAAATAAATAAAATCTTAAAAAAAAAAAAAGAAAAAAGTCAGTATAGTGAATACTTGAGTAAGAGTGAGAGCAGTAAAGGAGGAGGGCACAAGTGGGATTTTTGGGGTGGTGTTAATGTTCTGTTTCTTGACCTGGGTACTAGTTATATGGGTGTGTTCACTTTGAAAATTCATGGAGCTGTACCTAGGATCTATACACTTTTCTATACGCATGTTATACATCAATTTTTAAACAGCTTATTAAAAAGAAAATAGGATATTACTATACATTAATCAAATGTCACTTTTTAATTTTAGACAATACCAAGTGTTAGCAAAGATGTGGAGCAACTAGAACTCTCATACATTGCTGCTGAGCATCATGTAAACTGGGAGAATCACTTTGGAAAACCAGTTGTAACTATTAAAGTGCTAACATACATATATACCCCCCAGTGACCCAGCAGTTCTACTCCCAGGTGTTTACCTAACAGAAATGCATCCATATGTCCACCAAAAAACATGTATAACAGTTTTCCTTAGAAGCAACGGTCAAAATCATCCAAAACTGGAAGCAACTCAAATTTTAATCATCAGTAAACTGGAAAACAAACTGATATATTCATTCAGTGGATATTATAGAGTAATGAAAAAGAGTAAGCTACTCCTACACACAACATATATGAAGCTCAAAACTTAATGGTGAATGAAAGAAATCAGACACAGAAGAGTACACAATACATGATACCATTTAATTTAAATTCAAAAACAGTAAACAATCCAAAGGTAACTATTCTGATAAGAATCAGTGTACTGGTTACCATTGGAAGGTAGGAGTAATGACACTTCTTGGACCCTGGTAATGTTCTACATCTTAATCTGAATAGTAGCTACAGGACTGTGTTCACTTCATAAAAATTATCAAACAGTATACTCAAGATTTGTCCATCTTACTGTATATATGCTGTATTTCAATTTCTAAATCTTTTTCCTTTAACCTCTACACACAATGTGGGGTTTGAATTCATGATCTCAAGATCAAGTTGCATGCTCTACCAACTAAGCCAGCCAGGCACCCCTATTTCAATTTTTAAAATCTACCCCCCCCCAAATTTCACCCCTATACTGAGCCAGAGAAAGAAAGAAAAAGAAATAATGTAAATAGTCCAGCTGTCCTCTCTGACCACATCCCATCACCAGTGAGTGTATTTCCTCAGACAGCAAATGCAAGTAATAAACCTGACATAATCAGCACATACTAGCAAATCCACAGATAGAATGTTAGTCATCTGAGGGGTTTCTCTACTATTGATAAGATGTAAAAACACTGTTGAGGCAGCTAAAGAAGAGTGTAGAGATACTTCGTCTATATCATCAAGAAATAAATTGAATAACTGTCAAAATATTGAAGAGTAAGAACAGAAAAATCACTTAAAAAGTAAATATGACAAATAACAAGAAGAATCTACACACTCTCCATTGGGACATGCTTGTCCCAAGCAGAGAGACAGTGGAACACTTTAATTTCTGAATATTATTATTCTATGAAATTTTAAAATATACATTAGGTATCTTATACAGTTTATACATTATTATATAGAACTGTATAAACAAAACCAGGTACAATTTACTTAAAAGACATTTAAAGAAATTTTTCAAGAATAAATTAGACTGCTCTGTAAAATGCAATTCTACTGTACTACACACATACATATATACACAAAAATACATATATCTACATACAAATAACACAAATATATGTTATAAACACACAAACACACATAAAAACATATATATATATATGCACTTAATAGAACGAGATAGAAGTCTATATCATTTAGAGTTAGAAAAATAACAAAAGTACTAAAATAGTGCCAAATTACACTGGAAAGAGTAGGCCAAAAGGAATGGCTTAGGAAGCTAATTTCTTATTTATTATAAGAAATAATCCAGCAATAATGTCTAGAGTTGACAAATCATGAATCAATTATAAGCACATTATTTAAAGATACGGAAATGATCACCAGGAGAACCAAAATAGTCATCTACTTTTAATCTTTTCTCTGAGGATATTGATTGCGATTGGGACAAAGGACTGCTAATTTTCATGCAATTTAATGTACTGTCTTGTATTTTTAATCAAGAGCCTGTCCTATTTGATTATTAAAACTTTAAATCATGTTCCAGACAAATATATCATACAAAAATTTTCACTTCATATAAATTTTAAAAGATCATATACTTTGGTCCCAGTGGAAACATATCTATAATAACTGCCCTATTTCACAGGTTTATTGAGAGGATTACATCAGATAATTTATGTAAAATAATTAGCAAAATGCCTAGTACACGATTCAATAAATTTTAGCTTTCATTATATTTGCATAGAATAAGGTTCAACACTAATTATTAGAACTGACACTAATTCATTATGTAAAGTACCTGATAAATAAGCACTCAATAACTAATGACTGAATTAACTAATTAATGAGTCTATCTAGCTTTCAAGAAATAGATAATTACCTTCTAAGATTACCAAATAAAATAGTTACCTTGTTAACTACAGTGAAATCAGAATAAAACTAAAATCAAAACCTAACATTTATAATTTTGGGAGTGGGAGGAGATCAATTTTAGAATTCTATTCCACATAGAAAGTAATTGCTTACAAGGGCCAAAATTTCCAAATCATGTCAAACTGTTTTTATACAAGGAAAGGTAGTTATTAATTCTTAACATATCTACAAAATGATATACCAACATAATTTTTCTTGGCACATTTAGTTATCTGGGAGCAAATAAGATTCTAATTAAAATAAAAGAAGGAAATGCTTAAATTTCCCTAGAAATAGCACTACACCATCCATTGAAAGTACATCATTCTCTATCAACAGGGACCTAAATAGAAATAAATGCCTCACTGGATAAAATAAAATTAACCTTCCATAATACTGCAGAGAATAGGATATATAAGAGAATGAATACACAGCTGACCCTTCAACAATGCGGGGATTAGGGGTGCCAACCCCCAGTGTAGTCAGAAATCCACATATAACTTTGACTCCCTAAAAATTTAATTACTAAAAGCCTACTGCTGACCAGAAGACTTACTGATAATATAAGCAGTCAATTAACACATATTTTGTATATGTATTATATACTGTATTTTTACAAAAAAGTAACCCCTAAAGAAAATGTTAGTAAGAAAACTGAGGAAGAAGAAATACATTTACAATACTGTACATAAATTTAATGGGGGGGGAACCCATGTATAGGCAGAACCATGCAGTTCAAAACCATGTTGTTCAAGGGTCAAGTATATATATTTATAAAATATATGCCTTATTATTTACACTTGTAAATACTTTACAAATTCTATAAATATTATCTTCTCTCCAAAGGTTCATAACCTTCACTGTAGTAAGGAGCAACTTCCCTCCTCATCTAGAGATTCAAATGGAGTAAAAGGAGGATCAAAGTGAGACAGCCAGAATTAAAAAGAAAAACAGGATGCCGGGATAAAGTTTCTCTCCAACAACCATATCTGCCTTTAAGCAAAAGAGAGGTATACCTAGAATGGTCACCTCAATTTCCAAGCTTACCTGTGCATACTCTCTTTCAATGGCAGCCTTCTTCTGACTGAATGTCCTAAAAACACAAATAAAAATTCATTACTAGAAGTATAACAATAATTTTATGTAAATTTATCAACCACCCTCAGATACTACCTGGTAAACTGTGTTCAGGGAAAGGACAATATTTTATTCATTTATGTTCCTAGGTACTGCTGACAAAAAACTCTGGAGTCAGAAAATCAAATCAAACATTCAAATCCTGCCTCCACCATGTACTAGCTGAATGACCTTGGTCAAGTCACTTGACTTCTCTGTGTCTCAAAATGGGATAGTAACAGTATCCACACCATCGAGATGGTGTAAAATTTACTTAATTAAATATATTAAGTGCTCATTACACTGTCTAGCACACAGTAAAACTATATATGTTAGCTACTTTTATGACAATGGCTAATGCATAGTAGGCACTAAAAAATGTTTATTGAACTTAACCAATATAGAGGGAACTATAGAAAACAAAGTTAAAATTAAATTTGGGGGGCACCTGTCTGTCTCAAATGGTAAAGCATGTAACTCTTGATCTTGGGGTTGTAAGTTCGAGCCCCAGGTTGGGTGTAGATTACTTAAAAATAAAATCTTTATTAAAAAAAATCAGGGGTGCCTGAGTGGCATAGTCAGTTACATGTCTGACTATTGGTTTTGGCTAAGGTGGTGATTTCAGGGTCGTGAGATCGAGGCCCACATGGGACTCCATGCTCAGTGCACAGTCTGCTTCAGACTGTCTCTCCCACTGCCCCCACCACACACTCTCTTTCTCTCGCTCTCTCTAAAACGAATAAAATTTTTAAAAAAGAAGAAAATCAAATTTTGACCAGCTTAGCAACATGAAAAATAGTCGTATCAATTCCTTCATTCCAGTCCTTTGTAACAAGAGTTACAAAACAAAGTACAAGGCCACTAATGTGGTATGATGGGTGCACCCTTTCCATACATGTATTATATTTTATAGATTCTACAGTAACACTTTTCACATTTTAACATTTATGATACTGGGATTCATCTTTTAATAACGATCAGCAGTATTTTCTTCTACCTTAACAGTACATGAAATAGAATTACACCTTATAAACCATAGGCAAAGTAGTCAATGAAATATGGTAATATTGACAATTTAGCTTAAGACTTTTCTATTAGGAGCCAGGCATCTGTACTCTTTTTTTTTTTTTTAAGATTTATTTATTTATTTAAGAGAGTGAGAATGAGAGAGAGAGTACATGAGAGGGGGGAGGATTAGAGGGAGAAGCAGACTCCTCACTGAGCAGGGAGCCCGATGCGGGACTCGATCCCGGGACTCCAGGATCATGACCTGAGCCGAAGGCAGTTGCTTAACTGACTGAGCCACCCAGGCGCCCCAGGCATCTGTACTCTTAAAAGCATTTCACTTAGGCAGAAATATCAGAATAAAAAGTGAAAAATATAAAGAAAAGGGTGGGATTGGGAAAAAAAGACAATTTAAGCCAAAACTTCCACTTTAACAATTATTTAAATTTACCAACATGACTATTCATTTCTTATATAAGAAAAACTACTATTTAAGCTCTTACTACATTTGTTTTGAGTGAATAACTGTTATTTAGCCTTAAAAAGGAAATACCAACACATATGCTATAACAAGGATGAACCCTGAAGACATTACACTGAATGAAGTCAGTCAGTCACAGACAAATACTCTAGGATTCCATTTATATGAAGTACTTAGAGTAGTCAAAATCATATTGATGGAAAGAATGGAGGTTGCGAGGGGCTGGAAGGAAAGGATCAGAGGAGTCATTATTTAACCAGTACAGTTTCAGTTTTACAAGATGAGGGGTTCTGGAGATAGACAATGGTGATACCTGCAGAACAATATGAAGTACTTAATACCACTAAACTGTACACTTAAAAATGGCTAAGACAGTACATTTTATGTCATACATATTTTACTACAGTAAAAAAATGGAAAAAATAAAGTAGAGCAAGACCCTTTTCTCCTTAAGGGGTACTGCACATTTGAAAGCATTTAACACAGTCCTTTAAAATACAATTAGTCTAGGGCGCCTGGGTGGCTCAGTTGGTTGGGCGACTGCCTTCGGCTCAGGTCATGATCCTGGAGTCCCGGATTGAGTCCCGCATCGGGCTCTCTGCTCAGCGGGGAGTCTGCTTCTCCCTCTGACCCTCTTCCCTCTCGTGCTCTCTATCTCTCATTCTCTCTCTCAAATAAATAAATAAAATCTTTAAAAATAAAATAAAATAAAATAAAATTAGTCTACTGCCCTTAAAACATATAAACTATGTATTATATATGCATATATAAATATACTGTATGCATTTATATACTGTTTTATATAGCGCGTGCGCGCGCACACACACACACACACACACCCCAAAATAGTAATTAAGTTTTCTCTGGATAGCAGAATTACAGGCTTTCAACTTTCTTCGTTTACTTTCTATTATTTTCTGATGTTTTAGTAAGAATACCTATCATTTTTTTAAAAATTGAAGTCCTTATTTTTAAATAAATACACACACATAAACACATGCATACACGTTTTATGCACCCATGTTGTTTTACTAAAATTGTACCAGAAATTATTACGACTAGTACTACCAAATATGTGATCTTCCCATCTACCATAAATACCCAGGCAAAAGAAACTAAAATGAACTAACTTCTACTTTCCCCATTAAAAAATCTGAAAACTTGGGGCGCCTGGGTGGCTCAGTCATTAAGCATCTGCCTTTGGCTCAGGTCATGATCCCAGGGTCCTGGGATCGAGCCCCACATACAACTCCCTGCTCAGTGGGAAGCCTGCTTCTCCCTCTCCCACTCCCCCTGCTTGTGTTCCCTCTCTCGCTGTGTCTCTCTCTCTCAAATAAATAAAATCTTAAAAAAAAATCTGAAAACTTACCCATATTTGGAAGGAGGTACAATTTTTTAATATTTTATAAAACATGAAAGCAAAATATTTAAGCTATTTACTTAGTAGTTTTATTTAGTATTTAGTATTTATTTATTTAGCTTGAAAGCTAGATGTAACTCATCTTGAAATAAGGATGTTCAAGTGAAGTCACCAAGAAAACAGGAACTCTTTGACTCTGAACATGCATATTAACTAGTTTTCAAGTTCTCAGTGGAATTTTTAGTTGTTATGAAACAATTACATGTCTACTAAGTAATTTTCTAACAAAAGAAAACAAATCCAAGTTGACAACTATTCAAAATCAACATCATGAATATTAGAAATCTATTTATTATAATTCACAGTCAAGAGAGCAGAACAAAAAAAACTTCTCATAATCTCCATATAAGATGAAAAAGCACTTGTTAAAATTCAACATCAGTTTCTCATAAATATCTTTAGAAATATTAATGGGTGCTATAATTAAACAGATGGACAAGAACAAGTGATGGCAAGGACATGGAGAAATGAGAACTCTCATACAACATTGGTAGGAATGTAAAAAGATGCAGCTGCTTCGGAAAATCATAGTCTGCGAGTTCCTCAAAAGGTTAAACATAGAGTTACCATATGACCCAGCAGTTCTATTCCTAGGTATATATCCAAGAAAACTTAAAACGTGTCTACACAAAAACTTGTAAATGAACGTTCATAGCAGCATTATTCATGATCGCCAAAAAGTGGAAACAACCCAAATGTCCATCAACTGATGATCAGATAAAAAAGATGTGGTATATTCATATGATGGATTATTATTCAAAAAAGGAATGAAATACTGATACATGATACAATATGGATGAACCTGGAAAGCACTATGCTAAGAAGTTACATAAAAAGCCACATATCATAATATGGATGAACCTGGAAAGCACTATTCTAAGAAGTCACATAGAAGGCCACATATTATATGATTCCATTCATATAGAATGTCCCAGAATAGGCAAGCCTATAGGGACAGAAAGTAGATCAGTGGCTGCTAAGGGTTGGAGAGTTAAGTTTGCCATTATTTCAAAAATATTTTTTTAACTAGATAGGTTGATTATAAAGTTCATATGGAAAAATGAACATTTAAGAATAGTTATAAACATTTTGAAAAAGAATAGTATTTAAAAAAGATCTACTCTCATCAGATAATAAAAATTAATTTAAAAAGTGACAATTCTTAAGACAGCTTGGTAATGGAACAGGAGTAAACAGAGAGATAATGAAACATAATCAGAAATATCTCTAACATAGAGCTACCCTACAACGCAGTAATTACACTATTAGGTATTTATCCAAAAGATACAAACATAGTGATTCAAAGGGCCACATGCACCCCAATGTTTAGAGCAGCAATGTCTACAATAGCCAATATATGGAAGGCCCCCATATGTCCATTGACAGATGAATGGATAAAGATGTGGTATGTGTGTGGGTGTGTTTGTGTGTGTGTATATACATATATGTATATACATAATGGAATATTACTCAGCCATCAAAAAGAATTAAATCTTGCCATTTGCAGCAACATGGATGGAACTAAAGAGTATTATGCTAAGTGAAATAAGTCAGTCATAGAAAAACAAGTATCATATAATTTCACTCATGTGGAATTTAAGAAACAAAACAGATGAACATAGGGGAAGGGAGGAAAAATAAAAGATGAAAACAGAGATGGAAGCAAACCATTAGAGACTATTAACTATAGAAAACAAACTGAGGGTTGCTGGAGTGGAGGTGGATGGGGGGGTGGGGTCTTTTACCCTTTGAATCAAAATATTCTCTTTTACAGTTACTAAATTTTTGTGTATTTGGGTGTCTTTCTCTCTTTTTCTTTTCTTTCCTCCCTCCCTCCTCCCTTTCTTTCTTTCTTTCTCTCTCTCTCTCTCCCCCCTCTCTTTCTTTTTCTTTTTTTCAGTGCCAGAAACAAATTCTTTACTCTGTACATTCCAATTCAAAGTGATTCAATGCAAGGAACTGGGTGCATACAAAATTATTTGAGGATGTGGAGGGGGGCAAGAGGCAGGGATCCACAGGTGGGCTTCACTGGTCACCAGCATAGCTGGGACCAAGAGATCAGGGAGCACTG